AGAGGTGTTGAAATCGTTGGATAAATCAGTTTCATATAGAGTTTATTGTCCACAAACATCACACTTTTCCTTTATATCTAACTATAAAGAGCACGTTTATGAGGAGATGCCAAATATATATATATATATATATATATATATATATATATATATATGAAGAGTTCAGATGCAAAAGCCTCTAAGTGCCATTTGAAATTTTCTTCTAGAATGATCTTTTTTTTTATCAAGCTTGTATAGCACAATGGCAATGATAATTACCTATTAATTGTTATTTAAGTGAAATTACTGAACTAAAATGTACAAGTTTGATAAAAATCATCATTAAAGAAGAACATTTCAAATGGCATTTAGAGGCTTTTGCATCTGAACTTTTCATGTATATATGAAGAGTTCAGATGCAAAAGCCTCTTAAGTGCCATTTGAAATTTTCTTCTAAAATGATCATTTTTATCAAGCTTGTATATTTAAGTTCAGTAATTTCACTTAAATGGCAATGAAGATTACCTATTAATTGTCATTTAAGTGAAATTACTGAACATAAATATACAAGCTTGATAAAAATGGTCATTTTAGAAGAAAATTTCAAATGGCATTTAGAGGCTTTTGCATCTGAACTCTTCATATGTATAACACATAGCATGCTGTTTTTCTCCAATTAATATAACCTCATAAATAAGCAAATACGAATGTTAACACAGGGTTTGCAAAACAATTTGTTTGAAATCTCAAAACTGACACCAAAGATTAATTACACGGTTTAACTCGGTTTTAACTACAAAAAAGACTATAACTAAATAGAAAAAAAAAAAAAGATAAAGATGAGCATAACTAGCAAGATTAACATGTAATAATGTTGTAGGAGTCAAAATCTATTTCTATATTCTAAATGTGTTAATGTGTTAGCAAAACACCTCCAACCCAAAATCCCTAAAAATTGCAGGGGGATCTGGTGGCAGGAATTTATTTGAGTGTGATACCATATGGCAGAAGCATGTTGCGTGCTGAGTGGGAGAGATAAATACTTGAGTGAAGAATCTATTGTATTCAGAATAGGGGATTTTATAATCAGTGTGTGGAAGTATGGGCTATTATCCCTCCTATTTTTCATGATGTAAGGTTTGACCAGTGGACTATAACCATGGGTGTATATACAACGCATTCTCACCCCAAGGCGTCACCTTTGACCATGCTTCAATATTTGACGTTTTAGGCGCCCTTTAGCGTCACTTACATGACGCGATCCTACGGCGTCATCTAACTGACGCTAAAGGAAAGCGTCAGTCAGAGGACGCGGTTAGGTTTAGGTGTGGGGTGGGGGTAGGGTACATGCGATCCTAGGGCGTCACCTAACTGACGCTAAAGGGCGCCTAAAGCGTCAGATATTGAAGCATGTCCAAATGCTTCCCAAGGCGTCAGTTAGGTGACGCCTTGGGAGTGAGAATGGGCTGGTATATAAGTACGGGGTTGTAGGTGTATGTCACTTTCGGGGACTGTGACGACATTGATGCGCCACTGCTGCTGCTTGCATTGGAGTAACAGTGTTGACATGTAATGCCTCAGATTTCTGGCTCCATGCATTACTAGAATTTGGGATATTAACCACGGTGCAGCTTGTTCTATCATGTGTATATTGGCTCTAGCCTGAAGTCAAGGGAGAGTGAATGGCCGTTTAACATTTTTCTGTTTTGTTTTAGGGACGTGATGAGGGCAATGGCTGCACTCTGGTCAAGTGCTGTATGCTCCGATGCTCTGTGCCTCATCATAAAATTGCTGTTCTGTTTCTGGTATGGAATTGTTCCATGTTTAGCATGGGATGTATGCCCTTCCAATGAACTTTCCATGTTGCTTTTTAATAAGGATTTTTCTTTTCTTTCTGAGCTCTGAAAATGGCAAGAATTTAGAAAGCTACACAGTACGTCAACAGCCTGTGTCGTTTAATGTTGGGAAAAATGAGGCCAATGATTTCAACCTTGAAACGTTTGACTCCCACATGCACAGGATCAACTAGAGGATCTGTTTATCAAAGCCCCAGGTGCCAGCGCTCGTCAAAAGTAGAGATCTTAAGCTCATAGAAACACACAAAAAAGGGTCATTAGTTAATTCTACAATTGAAAGCACTAGCCTTTGGCAGATGGGCAGTCACTTTAAAAAGAGAAACCAAGATTAAAGTGTAAAGAGCTCCATTGGTAACCAATCTGCATGCCGATAGAGAGCACTCTATCTCTATTTCAGTCACGATGGCACTTAATCCTCTGTTGTTGTGTTTTCCTTTTTTCAGCTTTGATGTGATGAAATACTCCCTTTAAACATCCTACTCTTTTTCTCTCGCTCTCTCTCTTTCACTTTGTTTTTGAATATCTCAGTTTGCATTGGGTCAAAGTTACTGTATAAGGTCTTTCACACGATGTGAAAAAAAAATCATAATCTTAGACAATACAATTATGCTTTCTTAATGAATATAGTTGTAGTTTATCCTTCATTCTATCATTTTTTGTTACCTCTCTTTAAGCGCCTTGGTATTCCTTCCTGGCTAGTAATGACTCAAGTGTTACTAAAAAAAATTTCTAAAATTATACTCAAAAAGTTCACCAAAAATCTCAAAACCTTGAAATGACTTTAGTGTTTGGTTGACTAGATCATGTAGTAACACTTGAGTCATTACTAGTTAGTTCCAATGATCTTCACCTTATGATACAGATCCAAATATTTAGTAATTCCCACAGAAGTATCTAGTAACACTTTCATCTGTGCACTATTACTTACTAATTCATAATCAGAATTTTTTTTTTTTTTTTAGGTAATGGTAGTTACTAGATTGTTAATCAACTTTTTCAGTAGTTCTCTAGGAAGCATTAAAAAAATAGTAGTTATTGATTAGTTAACTACCACTTTCATCTGTGCGCTATTACTTACTAGTTCGTTAATCAGAGTTTCTTGTTAGTTAATAATAGTTACTAGATTGTTAACATTGTGTTACTCATTAGTTCTTGTGTAGTTATTCACTAACGAAGGAACCATATTCTGAAGTGTTACCAATAAATGTTTTTTTTTTTTTTTAAAGCCTCTTATGGTGATAGATTTTCCAATAAATGTTTATTCTGTTCCCTAGTACTGTCTTTATTATGACAGTATTTGAATATGCAGTTAGTTAGTGGAATGATTTAAAACTTTGAGTAATGACACATGCTCCTTGCGCCTTGGCTGCTTTCCTGTATTTCTCCATTTTCACTAATGGCTGGCAAAGTGATATTTCCCATGATACTGTCACACTGTTGCTGAGCTGTGTTATAGTGCAAACAGCGCAGGATGGAATGATGACTGTTGTCTAGGAGTAAAGTATTTACACTGAAGTAACATGAGACAGAATGGTTTCATAGACGGTGCATAGACCAAGCCAGGATTAGGCCTTAGATCAATTAGGACATTTAAATACCTTTTATAAATGTTCCTAAAATTTACTGATGTACATTTTCAGAAAAAAAAAAAAAAAAAACAGTGACACATTTTAAGATATGTCAGTGCAAGTTGCTGTCAGTTAAATCTGCTCAAACGTGCATTTTAGTCATGGGCTAGGCCTAAGTCTAACCTCCTGCGGGCTAAAAGAATGTCCCGGGAATCAACCAATGCTAGCCACTATATTATTCCTGGGATGATAAAGCTCAATCTTCAGCCCAGTCTTCATTTACACTTGATCCTTCAGAAATCATTGTAATGCTCATTTGGTGCTCAGTTATGAACAATTAGTTCTCAAATATTACTTATAACTATTATTATCAATGTTTAAAACAGTTTAATGTTTTTGTAGAAAGAGTGATACGTTTTTATCAGAATTCTTTGATACATAGAAATAGCAATGAACAGTATTTATTTGCAATTGAAATCTTTTGTACCATTGTAAATGCCTTTACTCTCATCATGCTGAAATTTATTCAATGCTATTATTATTATCATTTTTAGTGTTACTCAAACTTACATCAATGTTTGAATGTTGAACGCTTTATTAATCTGTTTTCAACATTGAGCACCAAATCAGTAAATTATATGATATAGGCTATACACACGGAAAGTATTCCATGTCTGACAGACTGTGTATGTACCTACAACAGAATGTGTCTTATTTTGTTATATTGTATTTCTGTTGACAATACCTCACTACTGCCATCGGCTGTCTCATGGGTTCTCTTCTAAATGACAGCAGGCTGAAGTTGAAAGCAGTGTGCAATTGATTGAAAACACAGACCTAGAAAATGTTTACCATTGCAATTCACAAATGACTACATAGCCACAGAGACAACTTTGCTATAAACAATAGTTATGAGTTACAAAACATGTGTTTTCATGTTTTATGGGGACTTTCAGTAGACATAATCATTGTTATACTGTACACATATTCTGTCCCAATTTCCCTAAACCTACCCATCACAGAAAACTTTCTAAATTTTTAAATTTTCAAAAAAAAAAAAACCCAAAAAAAACATTACTCATTTTATACATGTTATTTCAACGCATTCTCACCCCAAGGCGTCACCTTTGACCATGCTTCAATATTTGACGTTTTAGGCGCCTTTTAGCGTCACTTATACACAGTAAATTTGAAATCCGGAAATCAACACCAATAGAGTTAATTTCAACACTTTAAAAGTGTATATTTGGGAACCACCCACAAAGTGTTACTTCAACACTTTCAAAAGTGTTGCCTCTCTCAACACCGACACAGTGTTACAATTCGAACACTAAGAGAGTGGAATTTTAACACCAATGCAGATAACAACAACACTGCCAGTGTTTACTTTTTCAACCTTATAGTAGTCAAATTACACCATCCTGGTGTTAATAGAACACATTTTTACAAATAAAAACACCAAAGAAGTTACCAGTTTTTCTTATTAGGGTTATGCATTACCTACTGTACTTAAATGATTTGTCAGTTTATTTTCTTCAGTTCTTTAAATCTGAAAAGAATAATTTCACTTTGAAAAACACATAACTCTTTATTACTCTTTCAAAACTTTATTTCAAAACAATCCAGAAAGTATGGGATCATAGTAGAATTCAGTTCATTGTAAAGTTGAAAATAAAGGCAAATGTAAACAGTTGTTTCAAGCAAACTATTTTTTTTATTACCGAACAAACACGTTTACATCATAGGTTAACTTTTAAAATAAACGATGAATGCACTGTAATCAGAATTATATATTGTGATCAAATGGTGTCCTGAACATATCAGTGAATGTGAGTCCTGTGTCAGTGAAGTTGATTCAGTACCTTTGACTTTGCAACAGTACAGCAGTGCTTGAGTCAAAAACATTCAGCAGATGAAGAACAGTAGCAGGATATGAGTGGATCAGTTGTGTGTCTCCAGTCACTAACAGTAAAGTTCAGTGCATAGTTGTTTCACAGAGCAGCAAAAGCTGTGTAGATCCAACTTTCTCGAAAAATCCTGTAGGACTGGGTACCTAGACAACACAAAACCAGATCAATTACAATTAATACCATTTGTGTTTCATAAATACAGCAGGTTTATGGTGAAAAAAGTTCAATCATCGACTCAAACAAGAAACCATTTTGGTTAGATTAAGACTTGCATTTATTGATTTCCAAGTAAATTGAAGATTTAATTCATCCAAAAAATTTAATTCTGTCATTAATTATTCACCCTTGTTGTTCCAAACCAGTAAGAGTTTTGCTCATCTTAGGAACACTTAAAGGGATAGTTCACCCAAAAATGAAAATTCTAGCACTAATTACTCAACCCTCGTGTTGTTCCAACTCGGTAAGACTTTCCTTCATCTTCGGGAGACAAATGAATGATATTGTTGATTAAATCTGAGAGCTGGATCACTCCTGCAAAGCCTTTTAAGGGATTGAAACTTGGCAGCCAATAAAAGTTATTAAAGACATTGTTAAAATAGTCAGAGTGACTACAGTGGCTCAGGTTTATCAAGTGACGAGAATACTTTTTGTGCGCAAAAAACAAACTAAAAAATTAAAAATATTACAATCAACTATTCATTTTCTTCTGTGTGGGCCTGAGCAAGTTAACAGTGTAACAGTGCAGCGCTACTGTGTTGTACGTCACACACACACACACGACCAGCGTCAGCCAATAGTGAGCCTGTGTGTGACGTACAACACCGAGGCGCTGCGCTGTTACACTACGAGAAGCCCATCTCGAGGCCCACAGAGAAGGAAATGCATAGTTGAATAAAGTCGTAATTTCTGTTTGTTTTTTTGCGCACACAAAGCATTCTCGTTTGGATTGGATTTAGGATTGCGCTTCTGTAATCAACAATATCTTTAATGACTTTCTGGGCCAGCAAGTTTTGATCCCTTAGAAGCCTATGGAGGAGTGATCCAGCTCACAGATTTAATCAAAAATATCTTAATTTGTGTTCCGAAGATGAATGAGTCTTGCGAGGTTGGAACAACATGAGGGTAAGTAATTACTGACAGAATTGACATTTTTGGGTGAACAGTCCCTTTAATAAAGATATTTTTAATGAAATCTAAGAGAATTCTGTCCATTCATCTAAAGCCTATTCAACGACCACTTCAAAAACCACGGAAAGGTATAAAGGAAATCAAAAGTAATCCATGTGACTCTAGTGGTTTAACCTCAACCTTTTTGACAATTTTAACTCAACTTTATTTACAAAATATTAATCTTCAATGCACATACATGCACATCAACAACAAGCACGAGTTGTAACTTTGTCATGAACGCATGTTGGAAATAAATATTTAATAAATTAAGCTGTAAATTTGTTTTTGCTGTAAACACAGCACTTGCATAGTTTAATAAACATTTATGTTAAACCACTGGAGTTGCATTGGAGTACTTTAATGATGTACTTTTGTCTGGGGCTTGAAAGTGGTAGTTGTGTAGATTGTCAATGGAGGGACAGGAAGCTCTCCGATTTCATTAAAAATATGTTTGTTTGTGTTGTGAACATGAAAAAGTCTCACTTGTTTGGAAAGACATGAGGGTGAGTAATTAATAACAGAATTTCCATTTGTGGGTGAACTAACACTTTAAGAAAAAATAAAGACACGCACCTTAAGAAATCTCACTAAATTGTCAGCCGTCGGATTCCGGAAGGATCGGTGTTCCCGTCTTGTGGCTTTGTATGTTGGGGGCAGGTGATGGGCAGAGATTTTCCAATCAGTTGAGTCTAAAATTAAACAGCAAGAAAACATCTCCTTGTCAAATCATGAAAACCATTGGTTCGAAATCTTATTTTAAGTATATATATATATATATATATATATATATATATATATATATATATATATATATATATATACTAGATTTACTTTTGTAAATGAATTTGACTGGACAAATTCAAAATGAGTGTTATGAAACAAAGAAAATCTAGCTATACCAAATAACAACCAAGCTATGATTATTTTTTGTTTGTGCCCATGATTCTCTCATATGTTTACTTATCTGTTCTCTTTCCATCACCAGGTTCTAGTCTGTACAGTCTTTAAACACCAAGCCTGGTACCCTTAGTCACTTCATAGAAATCATAGTGCATCATAGAAATGCTCCTAGCAAACACAAATTGTAAAAATCAATACATTTAAACATTAAAGCATCTCCAAATATCAACCAAAAGTTAATCTGATAAATACATTTTGCATCAATATTTAATTTGAAATAATTGCAATTTGCTTACCCATTCTAAAAAGATTGGTCCTCCAAATAAGGAAATAAAGTGCAAATTCCACGTGCATTGTTGGTCCGCAGTTTGTGGAGTTGTTCTTCTGTTTTATACGTTAACGTTAGGTCTGCTGGCAGACGAGAGTAAAAGATAGTTTTAGGATAAATCCTTTATGATATTTGCACATCACACATATCGTCATAAACAATATAATATTATAAAACACGTATAGTAAATGAGTTAAACACTTACTTAATCGGTGTTTTTATTGTTAAAAGCAAACTCCGTGTCTGCACTCTGCACTGCTTTTTGAAATGCGTCACGAGCAGGTCACGAGTCAAAGAAGATGCAGGACCTAGACTGTGAGAGGTTTAGGCGCGCACATCACATAAATATCGTTACAAAACAATATAATGCCATGAAATTCATGTGGTAAATTATGTTAAAAACACTTACTTTAGGTGTTTCCCTGTTAACGTTAGCTACAAGCCTCCTCCTCGTCAGCTCCGTGTTTCAAAGATGATGTCGTCTTTGAAAAGAATTTTGACCGTTTAATCGCGCAGAACATTTAAATATCGCTTTGAATCAATGTGTTATAAAATATATTGGCTATGTGAATTAGAAAACACTTACTTTCGTTGTTTCCCTGTTAAAAAGCAAACCCATCCTGGTCTGCTCCGCATCGCGCGTCATAGAAAATACCCCTTCTGAGAGCGGTTTGCTCGTCCACAGCACATACATATTGTTATAAAACAATATGGTGTTATAAAATGAATATATAAATGCGATTTAACGCATAATAAATGCGTGTTTCCTCCTCGCATGTCTTGCGACTCGAGTCAAAGAAAATGGCGCCTGTGAAGAAAGTTTCAACTCGTTTCGTCCCGCCCAGCGCGTAAATGTCCCGGATGTGACTAGTAACACTCTCGGTGTTCTCAAAGCATCTCTGGTGTATAACTCCACATATTTTCACCAGCCAGAGAGTGTGGTTTACACTAGCAGTGTTAATCCCTTGAAATTCAACACCAGAAAATTAACACTTTACTCTAAAAGTCCTTAACACCAGGATTTCAACACTGGAGATTTTACTGTGTATGACGCGATCCTACGGCGTCATCTAACTGACGCTAAAGGAAAGCGTCAGTTAGAGGACGCGGTTAGGTTTAGGTGTGGGGTGGGGGGTAGGGTACACGCGATCCTAGGGCGTCATCTAACTGACGCTAAAGGGCGCCTAAAGCGTCAGATATTGAAGCATGTCCAAATGCTTCCCAAGGCGTCAGTTAAGTGACGCCTTGGGGGTGAGAATGGGCTGGTTATTTAAGTTATTTTCCTCATGGGGACGAAAAAAAATGTCAAAAAAAGGACAAGGATTGCGGACATCTCTGGACATTGTGCCCCCATAATGTAGGGTTTACCTGGCCACGCACAGAAAACGGGGACCTCGACACACACACACACACACACACACACTGGGTTTTATGGGGACATTCCATTAAAAAAATATTTTTATACTTTACAAACAGTCTATCTCCTAACCTAACCCCTAAACACAACCCTCACAAAATAAATGCAATTTTAAATGTTTCAAAAAATAAAAATAAAAGAAATAATTTACTTTGATTTATGAGCTGTTTTTGAATATTTGCATTTTTTTCATGACATTTTATACCCATAACGTAAGGTTTACCAGGGCCACACGCGCATTGCACAAATGCAGTAATATGACTTTTAAAAACAGCATTTTCTCCCGCTAATGTGTCAAGAAAGAAAGAAAGAAAGAAAGAAAGAAAGGGAAAAAAAGAAAGAAAGGAAGGAAGGAAGAGATGATCTCAATGGCCAGCAGTTATTCAAATTAGCACCCCGAAGCTCAAGCCTTTATAATATTTGTCCTCATTGCACGTTTAATTGGCTGGTCTGTAATTTTGCGCTGAGAATTAAAATTCAATGACTGAGATAACATAGGCATCCACTTAACCCTCACCCTTATTTTGAACATTTTAATGACTGCCTTGCTTCAGTGACACCATCAGTGTTTATAGCGCTGACGGCAAGAGCAGTATCTGGAGACTGAAGTGAGAGATCTCATTTATACACACAGCCTGTCCTTGCATTTATTTTCTCTCCAAATTACCAGCCCTTCTGTTTGTTAAAGCACCTCATCTGCATTGAGCGCAGTAAGAAAGGCTTCTGCGGACACTCTCGTGTATCTCTATTTCACAGCTAGGCTGGAACGCTGGAGTCACACAGGAGAAGGAAATCAGCCCTAACACACAACTGTAATCCATCTTAAAAGCACAGTAGATAAGCTGTTTAAAGCGTCCAGAAAACAGGGCCATCTTGAAACAGATACACATGCACACACGCACCCACATAGCCATCAAGGACATTTTTACATTATAAAACATTTATTTTTATACCATATTTACAAATGAGGACATCCCTAAAGGGAGGATTTTGGAGATTGTGTCAGGTTTTGGTCAAATTTGGCACCAAAATATTGTTAAGTAGGCACACAAGTGCACCAAGTACAGACTAATTACTGCTCATTCTCACAGATGAGACAATAAAATGCTACATTAGTTGTTTTTGTGTTTTCCCCTCTTTTTAGGTCATAATGCATTTGTTTATTTTTCATGCAATTCATCCATAATTTTCACTGGTTTAAGGATGAGTGAACTTACCATCTTTTATATATATATATAGCTATATTTTCAAAATGTTGCCTCTATTCTGAGTAATAGATTCATTGTGTTATAAGCTTCTAATTACTTTTCCAGATTTCCCCTGGTAACACATGGCTATACCTGAACTTCTGAACTTGGTTACTTCTAATTTAGCTGTCATTCAGTTGAAACATCAGGACCAAGTGTCATTCTTTTTCCTGTGAAGAATAACATCAGGTAGGTCATACTAGCAATTATCTGCAAGGAATTACAAGCTGTCAACGCCAGTTCGAAGAAGAGCGATAGAGAACTTTCAGTGAAAATGTTCAGCTTTGATCTCTATCTCAGTCACCTCCTCTGTTATCATTCAGTAGCACGAAGGGAAAGAGTATGTTGTTGCCATTTTATAGTTTATGTTGACTGGTAGTAATTTATTCCACCTACTGAGAACTGGCAAGGAAAGGAAGCAGGAAGGGAGAGATAAGACAAATTGATGAGCAGTTGGCTGGGATCTCAGTGACTGTAACACAGACGTAAGAGGAAGTACCCCCAGGTCATTAGAATACTGACGGAAAGAAATTGGTTGCAACCTTGAAAAGTCATTCTGTGGATGCCTTCCAACTTAATAAAACGCTGTTAAAGTTGAGCTGGAATCATGTCATGCTTCAATTGTGACAAATACAAATCTATACCCGCTCCATATTCTACTTTCACACAGAAGCAAAATACAGTCGCGAGCATGTTACATTGGCATTTTTGATGTTTTCTTTAGTCACTGTCACTATGGAAACAGGTGTAATTCATTTCATCATGAAAACAAGAAAAGTGCTTTGACTTTCACTGAAAATAAAATTAAATATTTTTAATAGTAACATATTATCTCACAATATAAACTTCACAGCGCCTTTGCATTTTAATTTCTAGGAACCTGACCCTAAAAGAAAAATTATTCCACCAAAAAAATGTGCAAACAAAGAAGAAGATAAAAGTATAAATAATTACAGTACATGAAAGAGAAGAAAATTATTATAATGTCAAAAGCTCATACTTCTAACATTTAAGAATATTTTATGCGGGTGCAAAATGATATTTTTTTGGCATTTAAAAATGTTGGTACATTATTTCATTAGCTCTAACTATGTTAGTCTTATTATAATAGTCCTTGATAGCACTTCAAGAATATCTATATTTTGTACACATCCATGTGATTAAAAATTTGCAGTCAGAATCACCATGTGCATTCAAACTGAAGAGGCACATTCAGAGAGAAAAAAAACACAACAAACAAACAGAAAAAAGTATACATAAAAGTGCTACTATTTAAAGCAGTTTTTTTTTTTTTTTTTTTTAACAAGAGGCCCATGATAAAGCTTTCAGAGAAACGGGAGAAAGATATACCTGAAAGGAAAAAAAAAAGGAAGTATCTCTCTAGTCTAAAAAGATAATGAAGTCCAGCTATCTTTCTGATGCAAACTTATCAATTACAGCAGCCCAGTGCTAATGAGTTTCCTTGCCACTTTTAGGGGATTTGTTTCAACACTAGAGAACTGATGTGTGTGTGTGTGTGTGTGTGTGTGTGTGTGTGTGTGTGTGTCATCTGATTAGGAGCTACCGATGTCACAAGAGAGATGGAACACTACATTTTCACCTCCTAAAAAAATATGGCTTAAGGCTAAATAATAAAAAAAGACTGTGCTGCAGATCAGCTCAAATCTGTTATATGAAAATATTAACAGTTTGTTCATGCTGCTTTGTGGCCTGTAGAGACTTTAAACAACAGACTAGATAATATTGCCTGAAGAGACAAACAATACAATATTCAACCTGAACATGAAACTCAAAAGTAATGATAGTAGTTACCCAATATCTCAGATCCTACAACAAGAACATTAATACATAATGGTAATTAAATAATTATAGCTACACGTGCCTAAAAAAGCTCAACGAAATTGCAATTGCTTTTGTAACAATTTAGCTATTAAATGTAAGGATATATGTAAGGACCAATAGGAGCATTAATACAATTGCAACCAAAGAACTGCCAATAATAAAATTGCGTATATATAGTAAGAAATAAATATCATTCGGTTTTGTTATGTTTTGTTTAAAACATAATTGTATTGGTTTGAAAAAAAAAAAAAAAATGAGCATGCTGTTATTGTTCAAACTTAGATAAACTTGGGGTGTTTTTATTCTCACTTCCAATTTCTATTCTCGCTTCCAATAACCCGCAACCCCCAGAAGATAGGTGGACATAAGAAATGTCAAACTTCAAAGATTTGAAATGGTTTTAAACTTAAAATCTTGCAAATGATAATGCATGTAACTACAGAAGCGTATTGCATTCACTTGAGGAAACAAAATCTACACTGTTTTTCTGAATTAACGAATTAATTATCTCAGAATTACGAGATAATTTTTCATGAAAAAAATAAGTATTTGCTGTTTTTTTATGAATTAAAGAATTAATGATCTCCGAATTATGAAATATAGTTTTTTGGATTTTTTAGTTTTTTTATTTTTGTCTATGAATGAATGAGTTTTTGAGATAACCAAGTCATTAATTCAGAAAAAAACAGAGCAACAACTTTTTTCCATGAAAACTTTTCTCGTAATTCTTAGAAAATTAACTTGGTAATTCAGAAAAAAAACAGAGTAGATTTTTTTTTTTCTTCAAGTGAATGCAATACGCTTCCGTATGTAACTGATCATCTACTTAGATACACACATAAGCTTGATGCACACTACCGTTAAAAGGTTTGGCCTCACTTTTTCAAAAAAAGAAATTAACAATATATACAGCATGGACCAATTGAATTGATCAAAAGTGACAATAAAGAAAATCAAATATTAAAAAAGTCAATTTCAAATAAATGCTGTTCTTTTCAACTTCCTACTCATCAAAATTTGCAACATGGTTTCCACAAAAATATTTTTGTGGAAAACAAAACAAAATAAAAACAGTTTTCAACATTGATAATTATAGAAAATGCTTCTTGATCACCAAACCAGCATATTAGAATGATTTCTGAAGGATCATGTGACGCTGAAGACTGGCTGCTGAAAATTCAGCATTGCAGGAATAAATTATTACATTATAAGATTTGAATTTTAATAATTTTCCATAATATTACTGTATTTTTTATCAAATAAAACCAGCCTTAATAAATAATAAATATTATAATAAATGGCGAGCATAAGATTGTAAAAAAAAAAAAAAAAAATGATAGTCAATACTCTGTACTATAGGTATTAATAGGGGCACACTGATGAAAAATGCCGTTCATGATTCAAAAACAATCTGGCATTGCACACAGTTTTGATTTTGTTTCAGGAGCACAGGGATTTCACTTCCGAGCCGTTGCCTTTGAGCACCGTTTATAATGCTGCTCTCTCGCATACGCTCAAAATTCACCCAA